GACACTGCAGATACTAAGTAGGTGTTTTAAGCTGCTGTGTTTGTGGCAATTTATTACAAAGCCATGGGAAATGAATGTGTTGCTGTGGACTACGGTTCGTCTTTCTCAGAGTCTTGTTTTGAGATCCATATGCTTCACTCCTGCTTCCAACACGGCTAGCTTTGAATATAGAGTCTCTGCAAAGGTTAGATGGGGTCACTGGGGTGGGTGGGTGGGGTCAGCACTTCCTAGGCAGGGAAGAGACCCTAGAAGTCAAGCTGTCTTTCTGCAAGCATTCCAAGGAAGGCCACATGGGGATCTTTGAGAAGGTGGTCATCCACAGCCAGGAAGGATGTGATCCCCAGAGCCCACCTAGCCTGACCTTTGTGTGGAACTTTCGTCTTCAGAGCTGGGAAGAAACAAATGTCTGATTTGTAAGACTCTTCCTAGCATTTTGTTATGGCAGCATGAGTGGACTAATACAAGCCACAAAGCTGGCAATATTTACTCCTTGTTCTTCCATGGAGAAAGTTTGACACCCCTTCCAGTTAAGAAGTAATACAAACTGGATAAATGGCTCATTAGTTAAGAGCATGTTCTGCTCTTGCAAAGGACTTGGTGGCTTACTTCTACTGTAAGTCCAGCTCCGGAAGATCCAGTGTCTTTCTCTGGCCTCTGCAAGCACCAGACACATGTACAAACATATGTATAGCCGTTCACTCTTATATATAAAATAAAAACAAATAAATAAGAATTATTTAAGTCACATCTCTCTTTCTAGTTACCTGTACCCATGTATTCTTGCTATATTTGGAGTGTGTACAGCTCTTTCCATGTTTAGTATGAGCTGTCTACACATCTGTGAATAATACATGGATGAAGCTGGTACCATCTTCCAGTAGGGAACCTTCCTGCTTAATTCTGAGCCTCCCCCCATCTCTGGCCCTACCCTCTGCATCATGGTGTCCATGGCAAGTTGAAGGTACAGAGCCTACTCCTGTGCCTTTCTTTCTAGACTTAAGAATTAGCACATTGTAGGCTTGCAGCAGTGAGTTATTTGGGAGCAGAGGACATGAAGATTGGCTCAGGACCATCAACCAGTTTTGTTTAAAAAGGTGTGTTAATTGCTATGGTGACCTAGTCTAATGGGTAAGTGTGTGTGTGGACTGAGCTAGTCTGGGTTCAAAGTCAAGCTTTGCCCCTTGAGATTATTGTGATCTTGGGCAACATTTTTGGAGCATTCTATATGTTAGTTTCATCATTCATGTCATGGTCATCAGTGATCATGTCTAGCTCATGCATTGGCTGTGATAACTAAATGACTGTTACAGAGGACCGGCACCATGCATGGCACAGAGTGCTGTCTCTATTGCCATCCCTCAGATTGGCCTCTGCTCTATAGTTCTCTTCTCTGTCTTTGTGCCCTTATGTTACCATTCCTTGACCCTAGAGCATTGCCGGTTGGAGTTGAGTCCTTAGCAGGCTCTCCCCACACCTGTTGCTGCCATTCTAATATCTCTTATCCTAATTTATGCAAATTAATATACATCTAATTTATTATATCCTGTTTGTCCTGTCCTCACCTTCTCTCTTCCAAGGCGGCCTTATGGTTTCTCTTTAGTTCACACTTTGACTTCCCTTTCCACTCAGTTTCAAGTCTCAACCTTTGCAGAATTGAGCGAAATACTCTTAAAAGTCCCAGCCTGAACACTGAGCCCCCAGTCCCTCCCCTCATGAAAGGTTCACTGAGTTCACTGTGACCCCCCCAAGAGAAAGGCATAGATGGACTACATTCCCCGGTGAGGGCGCCAATCTGGCACCTTGTCATGAATAAGGTCTATTTTAATGTATTCAACTACTCATTGAATAAAGTCAAGCCCACGCTGCGGCTTGACTTTGATGGAGACTCCTGTGGCCTACATATGTTCTCTTGGATCTTTGGAACCTGCAACTGGAAAGATATCACCCTGCGACCTCAGATGTCTCACATCCTGTGATACCAGAGGTGTCCTCTGAGCGCCACAAGCGTGGCACTCTGTGGGTTCCTAGTATGTTCCGTTCTAGCTACACAGACCAGGGTAGGAAGCATTCCTTTGCCTCCCCCATGCCAGGTCGCCTCAGTTTCTGGTCGTGTTTGTCAACACTGTGAGTTACTCCACCAGCAGTACTGATCGTGCGGAACGAAACTGAAGGCAAATCTCCACCTTTTTAAAAATAATTTTCCCCTTTCATGTCTGCCCTAGTTTGCTATCTTCACTTCGCTCCGCGGCTGGATATTAAAGGCACTGCTTTCTATTCTCAAAGAAGCAGGATGAGGCTCAGAGTCTGAATATGGAGTATTCTAAAAGAGGCTGTGCCGGAGCATTGGAGAGCTTCGGTTCCACGATGCCAGGGCGAGCATCCCGCTTCCTCTTCTTCATGTGTTTGAGCTGCTTCTAGGGGGTCCGTGAGGCTGCGTCTGTAGGATGGGGTAGACAGAGCAGCAGGATGAAAATAGTGTAGGTAATGACTAATTGTAAATGGCTGTTAATAAAAAGGAGTGTCGCTGTTGTTGCTAACTGATGTCATGCTTTTTCTCCAGCTGGGTAAGTCCCTTGGGAGTTCTGCCACGAGGTCCCATGTAGAAAGGCCGAGAGCACTGCTTCTTTCCTAAAGCAAGAACTGACAGATGACAATCTCTTGGCAGAATATAGCCTGCCTCCATTATTATATATGAAGTTTTAAGGGAACGCAGCCACACTGGCTTGTTTTCGTCTTGGCCATGGTTGCTTTTGCATTGTGAGGGCAGGGCTTAGCAGTTGTGACAGAGACTGTGTAGACACAAAGCTCAAGAGTTTTACTATTTGGTCCTTTGTAGGAAAGTTTGCTGAACTCTGTCTTTGGGAAGGGGGTTGGGGCTTTCTGTTTCCGTATGCAAACAGATTTACTTTACATAGACATCCGCATAGTTCACATACAGTGCCTGGCACCCGGCAGAAGGTAACAAAGCTTCCATCCCTCTTCTGAACTTAATTCTGCTCTGGAACACATAGGATCATATCTGAGAACTGCAGAGGCAGGCACATTTATATTTTTATTGAATTCTATTCCTCTCTCATTTCCAAAAGAAGAGCTCATGTTTAAAAAAAAATTCTGATTGGCACTATAAACCTTATTTATGCTTTAATGTCTCCTAAAGTATGTAGCCCACACTATTTTTACTCCCTTACAGATGCTGATATGCTATACATTACCAAATCCAAATGGATTTTCAAAATCCAATTTCCTTGCTCCAGTCTTCCGTTTCTCTGTTGACTTTTTATGTTTGACTTGCATCAGAGCATCTGGGGCTTTTGCCACATTTTGACCTCGACCTGTCCAGTGAAATAGCTCATCTGCTCAAGAGGAGAGTCCTCGGGTGGTGGTTGCCCGTCCCTGTCCTCCTGTGACTCTGTGAGTCTCCTTCTGGCTTGATGGTGGCTTCTGGAGGCAGCCTGAGCTAGTTCTTGGGGTGGAAGTGGAGACGAAGGTGCTATTTCCTCCCTAAATGATTGTGCTAAGGTTGGCATCAGTTACCCGACACTGCGTGCTCCTTGTGTCTGAATGAGGTCAGTGTCCAAATGAGTTTTCTTTAGGCATTCTTTCCAATCGTATATCTTCCTTAAGTGACCTGCCACAAATACCTTACAGAGATTGCGAGGCCTTTCGTGTTATGGTCTCTAGGGAAGACAGGTAGATGTCATTTTTGAATGATCAGCATTACCTACAAAAGTCATAAGGTCTTGGGGGTTGGATCAGTGTTTCTTGCAGTGGGTTTGGGAGAGTTTGGATTTCTTCTCTTCTCTTCTCCTTTCCTGCTGACTCCTAGTTTCCACAGCACCATGCCTTACTGCCATTTCTGCATCTCTGTGGCTTCTGTGGGATCCTAGCTACTTCTGATATTCTAGACTACTTAGATCTTATGATGAGAGGCTTCCTTGTGGCCATCTTGTTCCTAGATACCAGAAACTACATGGAAATGGATGGGGGTGGTTGGGAAATTGTCTCTAGAGACCGTGTCACCTGCTGTCAGGGCCCAGTCTTAAGCTCATGATCACTCTCATTCTTTATCTGTTGTCTGGGAGGAAGGAAATGCAGGAGTGATGGCGCTGGAAATCATCCTTAAGTGTATTTTCTCTCCTTGCTAGTTTGAAACATTGTCTGCCTCCAGCTACATGAGCAGGGAGGAGGTGTCTCTATTGGTTGGCGCTGGGTCCCAGTGGTTTGTTTATCCTGGTGTGTGTGTTTGGGTGATACTATCAATTTATATTGAGAAGGATTATGAGAAACATCCTCATGAGACTCACCATGTACTCCTTGTGTGGATGTAGTCTCAGATAGGGGTGGTGTTTCATTATGGGATATGAGGGTCACCACGGATATTTCTGCAGAGGCTTTTGTCTGATCTGTGTTCACGGATTGGTTGTCATTTTCCTCAGACAGTTTGGCTTTTATTATGAGAACACAGTGTCCCATAGCTGGGAAGCTTTCACCGTTGACAGAGGGAATCAGGAGCTCAGAGTCACGCATAGCCCCATTTAGGCAGATGGACATGTGGGAAATTAAAGTATGGTTTCACAACTCCCTCCTTCTACCCTGCTTTGCTCTTTCTTTTCCCTGTCCTCAGTGTCACCAGACTGCACACCCTCCTTCCAAATACACTGGACTGATGCAGCAGGATGGTGAACAGTTGGCATCTCCTAAAGATGCTCTGCTGTCTAGGTTTCACCACAGAGCATAGATGGGAACTTAAAAATCCACTGGTCATCCGGGCACTGTGGAAAAGTCCTGACTGTGTGCCTGACTGAAATGTAGATGATTTTGTGTGTGTGTGTGTGTGTGTGTGTGTGTGTGTGTGTGTGTCTGTGTGATGTTGTGTGACACAGGGGCCTGTATCTAGAACTGTTTTGTGGTGAGACATCAAAGACACGCATAAGCAATGATAAACTCTGGTATAAAACAGGGTCTGAATATCTGAAGAAAACAGTGACTCAGGACAGAGTATGGCGCTGCCTTCGCTTGCTCTCAGTAAGCTCCTCTTGTAGGAACATTCCACCATCACTCCTTCCGTCTTTGAATGCTACCTCCTGCAGCCTCGGCCACCAAAGGCCTTTGCAGCGTCAGAGACGCTGAGAAGGACAGCGGGTCAGGGGTGCTTTCTGTGTGTAGCCCCTGTCTCTGAGAGGTTGTCATGGTGGAGGGCCATCATAGTGGAGGTCTGCCTCCAATTAATGCTGAGAAATCTTGTCCCACTCCAACTTCATGATTCTCTCACCCACTCCCAACCATGGCCTCTGGAGTACACACTTACATTTGTAATTATTCTTCAACTTGCTTATTTATTGCTGGTCTGCCTTACTAATCATCTTCAGACATCTCTCTGGAAACTCCCGTGTAGCCAGTGCCAGCACTATATCTAATCTTTAGTAAGGGACTTTGTTGAATTAGCAAAGAACTACAGTAAAGCAAATATCTTTCTCTCCACCAGCACATCAGTCAACTTCCCACCCAGAAATTCCCCACTGGCCTTACTGCAGATTTCAGTTTCTTGTTGTGTTTCTTGGACCTATTTACCTTTTTGTTTCTCTCAAGATGTTTGTGTTTGTGTGGCTCCTTTTTTATTTAATGCAAAGCACACTTCAACTCCTACACTTCCAGAATGGGACCAGCCCTCTATTGCTGAGCCTAGCATTCACTGGGGTTCTTTCATAACCTGCTCAAGTGACTATAGCAGAATACCTTAATCTGGGTGATTTATGAACAGAAAGAAAAACTTGTTCACAGTTCTGGAGGTTTAGAAGCCTGCAATCAGAACAGCAGCTGATGTAGGGTGTGACGTCAGCCCGTTCTGCTCAGGTGTCTCCTTTTTATCTTATTTACATTTCATTCATTTTGTTTATCACACAAAATAACAGGTTTGGTTATGACATTTTCACATGTACGTTTTTTCCATTGGCCTCCTCCCCTCTCCCCTCCATCTCCCTGTTCCTCTCCTGTCATCCTTTCATGTTGCTTTCATGGCATATGAATTCCATTGTCCTCTTCTTGGCCTTCCTTCTGCAAAGCTCACTTGGCAGAAGGAGGGAGTGTGCTCCCTAGGGTCTCTTTCATCAGGACACAAATCTCCTACCTGAGAGCCAAACCCTCATAATCCAATCACCTCCTCAAAATCCCGTCTCTTAATCCCACTTCCTAAGGGGTAAGTTCCAACATAGGAACTGGAAAAGGGCACAGACTTGAGGCCTGCAGTGGATGTGGCTCAGCTTATGATGGGGACATATGGGCGTTTGGAGGGGGGCAGGGTGCTGAACCACCAGGGAGACAACACAGGGAAGAGATGGATTAGAATAGGAATGGGTGTGGACCACCAGCCAGGAGGCCACAGCAGGCTCAGGCTAGCAGGTGCCAGCTCCTTCTGTGGACTAGCCTGTGCTCCTTTTGTGATATCCTTCCTCTGGCCTTCTGCCTGTGAAGATGCTCCTCTCCCGCTGGGCCCTGTTAACTCTCTCTGGTCACAGCAGCTCTCCTACTTGGAGCCTCCATTCTAATCTCTTATCACATTCGATGTCACCTTGAATGGACTTCCAACCCAAATATATGCTGTTTATCCTTGCCAATACGAAACAGACACAGCATAATGTCAAATGACGGATGTCTTGAACTTGGGAAAACCTAGACACTCTCATTGTTGACTTTCTCATCTTCCAAATGCATGGTTGTCTAATTCTTTACCAGTTTGTTCTTCCAACTCCATGAAGCATGGGTTTTCAGTCTACTTTTACAGGGAAGAAGGTAGGGGGTGGGTGTAGAAAAATTCTGTGTTTACTTTTCATAGTCAATCCATTTAATAACATATCATAAGGTGGGTGTTCCCTTCCACTGGTGGGGAAACCGAGACTCCCCACCTCCCACCCCTGGTGTGAATCAGGTGGCCCAAACTCACAGTTCTGCAAAGCTGAGGTGTCATGTAATTCTGCTGGATTCTGAAGCTCCTGTTTGTTCCGCAGCATCCCAGCACCCCTTACCTGGAGCTGGAAGCTGTTACAGAGGCATGCCCTGGCATTCCTTGTTCCTACTCAGAATGAGACATTCCTGTTTATATTCTCAAGAAGTCAGACTGAAATCAATGTAACTAGCCTTATTAACTTTCTTAAATGGGGGACGGGTCACCAATGCCAAAAACTTTTCTGGGATTACCAAAGCAAATATAAAAATCTAGTTTGACAGTTGCCTGCTTTTGGTTCTTTCTTTCCTCTCTCCTTCCTTTCTTCCCTCCCTCCCTCCTTTGTTTCTTTCTTTTTTTCTTTCTTTCTTTCTTTCTTTCTTTCTTTCTTTCTTTCTTTCTTTCCTTCTCTTTTCTTTCTCCTCCTCTTCCTTCTCCTCTTTCTTTCTTCTCCTATTTTGGTTTGGTTATTTTTCCTCCAACACCCCTGTAGAGTTTAAAATCCAGATCTGTAAATGAAGAATTGGTGGGGAAGGGGTAACTTGCCAAGCTCCGTGCATGGGACTGTACTTACCCATCTCTCTTTCGTCTGCAGGTGGCTGTTCCTTTGATGAGCACTACAGCAACTGTGGGTATAGCGTGGCCCTGGGCACCAATGGGTTTACCTGGGAGCAGATTAACACATGGGAGAAGCCAATGCTGGACCCAGCTGTGCCTACAGGTATGTGACCTATCATGTTTGGGGCTGAGATGGAGGTGGCTGGCTTTGCAGTGGCTCATGGGGGAAGGACCTTTTTATGGATTGAGGTGAGAGAATAGTAGGTTAATATGTAGATAGTGAATTGCCCATCTTTAGAGGTGTTCAGGCAAGGCTAAGTGAGTTCTTTAGAATGGAGTGATAATTACAGACCCTCAGGATCCAGAGACCTTTGGGATTATTTTTACTCAGAGATTTTTAAGCTCTGCCTATGCACAGGGTATCACTGAGTTTTGCTGTGGAGTCTGATGGTAATGACATTTTAGAAAAAGATGAGATTACTCCTTTTCTCTATAAACATGAGTTGTACACATCAGGACGTTCCCACTGTTAAATTATTATAGCTTTGGTGACTGTCCTAACATCCAAAATACCAGACTTATTTAACCAATGTAAAGTCTTGACGGGGGGCTGCATGAGGCAGGCCTGTGAGAGAGGTGAACCTGCTGGGTTTTAGGGGATGTATTTGGAGGAGGAATACACATACTCAAAGAGAACCCTGTCAGAGTTGGTGAATCAGGCAGGGCATAGCAGCAAGGTTGCTTGGTGATGTGAGCCAGGATGTCCTACATCCCTGTGGACGTGAAGGTCATCCTTTTGAACAGTAGGAAAGCCAATTGGATATAGGACACGAGAGAACGTTGTCTGTGGAGACTTCCTGGCCAGTGCCTCCATGTAGCGCACACATTGTCTTATATTGCACCAGCCCCTCTGCCCGCCGTGAGGCTCACTCCTGTTCTCTGCTAGTTCAACCTGCCCTTAAGAACTAGAGTTTTTTGTGCTTGTTCTGAACTTTTCCTCGTGCATGGCTTCTCCAACACCATTGCTTCAGGTTCTGAGCACAGATATGCCAATATCTGTGACCCCCACGGCTATGTCCTCTTGCTCAACTCTGGGCAGAGGGTTTCTGGGATATCAGTAAGTGGAGACAGAGGAGATTCTCAGAAGAATCTAGGGGCAGAAGTGTCTTCTCTGATTTTGAGCTTGATTCCAAAGCAGGAGACCCCTGGCTGGATTTGCATGGTTCCTACTGAGGCTTGCGTCATGCCTGTTTCTCAGGAGGGTCTTGAGTTCACGGCTGTCTCAAAAGGAAAGAAACAGGCCTCAAGTGCTAAATTGGAAATTTCAGATTAGATGGGGTCTTATTTTGTCTGAGCAGAGGTATCAGTTGTCACATGTTCCAATGACTAAGGCAGCATGGGAAAACGATATCTGTTGCCTCCTTGTGGTTTTTAGTAATGCTGACTTCATTTCTGTAGTCATTCTGTAGTATCCCAGTCATTCATTCCATTAGGATCCCAAAAGCTAAAACACTCATGCTTAATTAATTAATTCCAATGATGGCATAGAACTCACTATGCAGATCAGACTGCTGTGGAATTCACAGGACTCAATCTGCCTCTGCCTCTGCCCCTTGAGTGCTGGCATTAACAGTGTGTGTCACCAATCTCTGCATGTTCTCTGCTCTATTGGCCATCTTTGAGATTGATCAAATCTGGATCTTATAGTGCATGCATGTGCGTGTATCTATGTATGCATGTGTGCATGTGTGTATGGGAGATGGGTGTGCATTCATCCATGTGTGTATGCATCAGTGTGTAAATGTATATATACATGAGTGTTAAATGCATATGTGTGCATTTGTGTGCATCCGTGTGTGTGTGTGTGTGTGTGTGTATTCATGCACATATCTGTATATCTTTAACCCACTCAAAATCATGTAGTGTGTCATGATCTAACATTTTCAAAATTAACCTTCCTTCCTTCCTCCCTCCTTCCCTCTTCCTTCCTTCCTTCCTTCTTCCCTTCCTCCCTCCCTCCCTCCCTCCCTCCCTTCCTCCCTCCCTCCCTCCCTCCCTCCCTCCCTTCCTTTCTTCCTTTCTTCCTTTCTTCCTGAGATAACATAGAACTTGAGCTCTTCCTCCTAAGTGATGGGATTGCTAATGTCTACCAATATGCCTAGCTAAAAGTGAATTCTTAATTCACCTTTTCCCCTTTCATGTCTACGCACTTTCTGGAATGATTCAGAAGCCAGTGGCTCTATTTGTCTCTCCCGTCCCCCATGTGGTAGTCTCTTCATCTGAATGTCTCCCCAGTTCTGACTCCATCACTGGTCTCTCTGGTTTCTTTGCCTAGACTCTCATTCTTCTGGTGCAGATCACCTCTGCCTCTCTTTTGGGAACCTGGGGACCCTTGTTCTGGTTCTTTGAGTCATTCTTTTGAGTTTAATCTGTACAGAAGCCAAAGAGATTCTGGTGAGATACAGAGCCGTCTATTCCCTTGCCCCTTCATCCCTCTGCAGTTTCTCTCTCCAAGATTTTGAGGTCTCCTGCTGCTCTGAGATGACAGAGTCCTGTTGTCCCCTCAAGACCCTGACAGCTTATCCTGCCTCAGCTTCTGTCCTGACCAGTTCTGCTTCCCCTGTGTTGCTTCACATGGGCTCCTGTCAGTTGTTGGCAAACTCTGACTCCCCTGCCTCAGGAGCTCGCACACAGTGCTCCCAGGAAGCCCTTCCATCCAGTCTGCCCTGCCATTGTGACTTCTTCCCATTCAGTCTGGGGTGGCTCTTGTTAAAGATCCCCACATTGTGACTAACGTCTCCCATGTTACTGGGGACCACAGTAGCCTTGTTCACAGCTGCATCGTCTGCAGCTGCGGGATGTGGTGTGACAGATGGAGCATCCACGTCACAATGTGCTGGAAGCAGGCACGGATGGGGTTGCGTACTGAAGTGGTTAGTAACAAAGATGCGAGCTACAGTTTAGAGGCCTTTGGCACTCTTCTTCCTGATCACATGCTTATCCCAATCGTGTTTTCTTCCTACTATCCTTCCCATTTTACAGAGAAGAAAACCAAGTTCTGGGCAGCAACCTGGCAAGATGGATGCCTCCTCCTCCCCTCCTACTTCCCCTCCCTGAGGCATGATGATTACTTCTAATCTTAATTTTCTCGGGCCCTTATTACAGCAGAGTGTCATTTTGTAAATATTGGATCATGCTAATACAATCTTCTGAGCATTCCTAATAGAGGCATTTGATAGTGATCGCTGAAATGAGTCTGTCAGGGGCGCCTGTGGATCTCAGCGGCTCTGTGTGCTGCTCAGGCTGAGAGGCGTGGAAGCGAATTTGGATGAGGGGAGAAGCTGTTCTTACAGGCAGCGGCCAGAATCTTATCATGTTCCGTGGCCCAGTACTTTCCATCTCTTCGGAAATCTAGCTTGAGTCTGTTTATTCAGATGGCCCTTGCTGTTTATTGATCCCCTCTGGGCGACAGGCTCTGTGTCATACTTGGCCTAAATGGATAGGATCATGTCGTTTTGGAGCTTAATCTCTTTAGTGGCTTGGCCTTTAAGTAGACTGTGATCCACACACTGTGAGACCTATCCAGTCCTGGGCCATCTAATGCCATCTTTTTTCAAACACCGTTCCTTACCTCTCAGTGCTCCAGATACCCTGGCTGGCCTGGTGATTGGACATGTCGCATTCTTCCCTGGCACAGGACCCTCGAGCATGCTCCCCTGCTCACTGGAAAGCCTTTCTCTATCATTTATCATCCTCTTCAAGTCTTGGCTCGTGCAGCTTCCCATAGACACCTCTCCTCACTGCACAACTGAAGGAGGTTTCCTTGGGTATGTGATTGTCACCTCCTGTTCTTTGTTTTCAAGGCCCTTGTTATAGACCCCATGTTAGCTTCGCAACAGTTGCGGGAAAACACCTAAGAGAACCAACTTAAAGGAAGAAACATTTATTAGGGCTCAGGCCAAGGTCCCTGCCTTTCTATATCCTATGGCAAACTCTATACAGTAACTTTAAACTTTTGAGAATTGGAGGGAAGAAGAAAGCAACCTTGACTTTAAGTAGCTTCTCTCTGGACCACACATGTCCAGGGAGAACAGAGAGATACCGAGTTTAGTAGTTGCCTGTATAGAATGTTGGAAAGGATGGGAGCTGGAGATAATCCAGGAAGAACATGGGACACCCTGCAACCAGCCCACTTCTACCCATCAGTCTCCTGTGGAAGTAGATACACTTCCACCATGGCTCTGGGCTCCCTATCATGCCCTTGACCCTGTAGGCCACCTGTCTCCACCTTTCTGCTAATATTTATCAAGGACTGCCATCAGCTATGGACTGAACTATGCTTTTTCAGAGGGCATGGAGAAGTTCTAAATGCTGGTACTTGTGCCTTTGACCTTGTTTGGAAATGATTTGGAGTCCTTATTTCCCTGACTCCTTTAAGATGAAGACATACTGGTTATATGGGGTGTCAGTCTAATATGGCAAACAGGAGGTCCAGTTAGGGTTTCTATTGTTGTGAGAAAACAGCATGACCAAAAGCAACTTGCAGAGGAGAGCGTTTACTTTATGTTACAATGCCCGGGTTGCTGTTCTTCACTGAGGGAAGTCAGAGGAACTCAGGGCCAGAACCTAGAGGCGGGAAGCAGAAGCCCTTGCAACCCTATTTGGCGACTTGCTTCTCATGGCTTGCTCGCCTGCCTTAAACCATCCAGTGCCACCTGCCTTGGGTGGCAACTCCTATAATGGATTGAGCCTTCCCATGTCAATCAGTAATTGAGAAAATGTCTCAGAGGTTTGCCTATTGGCTAATCTCATGGAGGCATTTTCTCAGTTGTGGTTTCTTCCTTTCAGATATGTCTCAGTTTGTGTCAAGCTGACAAAACCCAACCAGCTCATGGGGCAGAGACACACAGATACCCAGGGGAAAAGGCCATATGAAGATAAAGGTAGATATTGGAGTAAGGTTTCTACTAACCAAGGAAGGCCAGTGGTGGCCAGAAAAAGGCAGGGCCTAGCCAATGTAGAAAAGGCTGCCTTCCTGGAGCCTTTAGTGGGAACATGGTTCAGCGTGATTCTGAACTTTTGGCCTACAGACCTGGGATAGAACAGGTTTCTCTTGACTTTGGTTACCAGTTTGTGGTAGTTAAGAAAGCTGAAGCCCAGTAA